GCGTGTTTGACAACAGTCGTACTTTTTCAAGCGAAGTGGATTTGTTGACTGATTGGACAGTTTGTGTTACAGCAATGATAGGTAGTGAAATGATAAAAGCCGATAGTTGCAAAACAACAAATCAGAAATTTGATGGTAAGTGTAAAAAATATGTCAGATTCCTTGCGTTTACTTTCTATTTAGTATAGCTATGCTACAGTTCTCACATGTCACACTAGAAAATATCTTCGACTTATAATTATTTCAAACTAACGTAAGTATGATAAAATATTCCTTATAATGATTACTAACAGCTACAAAATTAAATAATAAAAAAATATATTGATTACGCTACCTCAGCCATGCTTCAATGGCATATCTGTTGTTTGTAGTAGAGTCATTTTCATGAGATCCGTGACTAATTTTAGGATACCTTTTTTTCTCGATGGATTTGGCAATATGGACCAATTTAGATAAAATATAGCTCCTATATACCTCCCAGATATGGGGGGGGGGGGAGTCCCGTTTGGGGGCATTTTTCAAAATGGCCACCTGTTGATTTGGACGCTTGTATCTCAATAACCACTAATCAGAGAGACTTGATTTTGGTCTCAAATTGTTCACAATATGCATGTTCCTGTTTGTTGTAATACAACTTTTTATCCAAAAATGGCGGGAAATGCGATTTTTTGAAAATTTGACCTTTGACCTTGTATTGTCATATCTCGGTAACTACTGGTCACAGAGACTCACAATTGATTGCAAATTGTTCAGGAGATTATGTTTATATTCGTCTTAATGAAAAAAATATTCAAATAGTGACCGGAAATGGTACATTCTGACCTTTGACCTATTGTAGGGTCATTACATGTCAAATCAACCAGATTAAAAAAAAAAATCCTGTATGACAGTCTCAGATTTTGATGAAATTCCATAAAAATGAGCCACTGTATGGAAAAAAAAAAAAAAAAAAAAAAAAAAAAAAAAATAGCCTTTTAGGATATGTAGATTCCGAGATATTGGCTCCTCAAAAAGGGGGAGTTGTTCTTCAAGATGTGCAAACACAATTTACTTCAACTTTAGAAGCTTATAACTCGGGATTGGTAATAGCTTTCAAGGTCAAACTTGGTACTCTAACCAAGGTAATTCAACAAAAGGACGCACATCTCCGCTCTCGAACATAGCGCGTGCGTACAGTCCTTTGATCTTGTGGCATCGACAATCCGGTACTAGTTGCGAGTACAGTCGTCAATTATTAGTCTATGCGTGCCATTCGTTTTATGGTGTTAGTTTTTATTTTATTAATTTTGGGTACTTCGCAATGTCTGTTACATTTGATTTTTTTTTACCGCGAGCTTGTTAAATGCTTCTATAAACTGCAATTTGATTTCTGAAAATTGACCAAGAAAATGAAAAGTTGTAGCAATTCAAAATTTACGAATTTTATAAAATTTCATGTTCTTATGTAACATTAATCTGTCATTTTGACAATGTTGGCATAAGGTGCCGAGGACGAACA